ACTTTTCCTTGATGCTGTCCACCACTGGTGGAAAAACTGTGCATTAGTTTACATTATTCCTGCTGTGTTGTTTGCAAGAATCGTTCAAATATTGGGGTTTGCGAATTAAAAACATCCTTCCACAGTGAGTTAGGCTCAGGTTCTGTACTTCGTAAGGCTTTTTTATGGTTGACCTAATGGGTTGCTCATGATTATAACCAGTAAAAAAACCCAGTTTATCCTGTTGTATGTAATGAGCTAGCTGACTTTTAACATGGTACCTTTTTTCAGGGTAGATGTTCCTATTGTATATTCTCTGCACAAGCTCTTTCAACTGTTGCCATGTTCTGAAGAAATTACAAATGTGTGGAAAATAGGAGTTTATATATGTTTCTCAAGAACATTTGGGAAAGCAGCAGAAAATATTTTGAGAGTAGAGCCCTTCGAGTGTGTTTTTTTTCAAGGCAGGCTTATGAAGTGACACCACCACACCCAACCTCTTGGGAGCAGTGACCCCCAACTGGCAGTTGAAGTACCTTTCCTTGGGAACTTAGCACCGCTTTAAATAGAGAGAAAATGAGATAAGGCAGAAGGCAGGCATCAGGTTCTCTTTCCTCATGGAGGGACTACATGGTTAAGGGGCAGGAGTCAAAGATGTGTTATTTCTTTTTTTCCCAGTTGAAGTGCTAAGGCTTGGACAACAAGCCCAAGCCAGAGTTGACCTATAGATGAATCTTTTATATTTTATAACTGATAACCATTGTGCTAGTAGGTATTGTACTAAGTTATAACAAACCACCTATGCTGATGTAAAAAGTGCTAAAACATAGAGATACTGGAAGCCTGAACAACAGGCCCCAAGGTGAAGCTGCTAACTTAGCATGTAATCATTAACAAAGTGTGTAAACTTGCTAGTGAAAGATGCAGCTTAGACAAAATACAGTCAGTAGTGAGGAGAGAATGTATCCAACTTCCCTTGCTTAGCCTTGTTCAAGGCTGACAACCCAAGTTTCTGGCCAGGCTTTGGGTGGAATCCAACAGGAGAATGAAACCAGAAGTTTTTTGCTTAAAACAAAGGTGCCAGCTGTTCTGGCCTGTCCATCTCTGGTACATAAGGCTGGGCCCGTTTGCAGCAACTTTGGGTGCCTCACCTATGGGGGACGCACCGCGTAGGATTTCCCACTGGCCGGGACAGGCTCTGCAAACCCTCGCTGTGAATATGCAAGTGGTGATGAATCTCTCTTAATCCCTATTCTCTTTCTCTTGTAGTAATGACCCTGTTTTTTCCTGTTTGCTGCTTTAAGTGCACTATTCTTTTTTTTTCCTACTGCATGTTTTCTGTATTACACTGTTACATTACTTGGTTATCACTAGTAAAATACGCCTACTCTTTTCACTCTGATGTCTGGGTTTAATTGGTATCCTTAATCAGCAAAACAAAAGTTCACTGCACAGAAGTAAGATTGGCATATCCATAAATGCTCTAATATGCTTGTAAATTTTATAGAACGCTGTTGCATTGCTTATTCTTCTACTACTCTTCTTATTTGTATTGACAGAAACATGTCTGAAGTTGAAACTTTGAAAGTTGGTCAATTTGTGGAGCTACTGTTACAAGTTTACTATATTATTGAATGTCACTACTATTTCTATTTAATGAAATAGAATTAATTTGAAACAATTAGAGTTGTCAGTTTTAATATTGCTCTATTTCCATAATATCCCCCTGTCTGCCTTATTTGATTAATGTTAGATGTTCTTTTAGGCTGCTTTGTAATTATTGTGTGAAGAGTACACATAAGTAGGTATGAAAGTATTTCTTGTTAAGGATGAGGGAGAAATCACCTTGTGGAGAAATGCAACATCATTCTGCATCCTGAATAGCTTCCTTAAGTGGCTTGGGAATTTATTTAGGATCTGAAAGCATGTATTAGTGTTAATGGCGTAATGCTCTGTTTTCAAGTTTTTTGTTTGTTTGTTTGTTTTTTCTTGTCCCTAAATGTACTGTGTTAGTTTTGTCTTGCTTTAGCTGTACTTCTGTACTTAAAATGACATATTTTATCTATGATGCACTGGTTTTCCTCCTTTCACACATTTTCTTCACTTAATACTAGATCTCTGTTTATTGTCAATTGATGAAACCATATCGGAGTCACCAGAGAAGGAAAATGATTACAGGAAAACAAAATGGAAGAACTGTAGTAAATGTGTTTAATTTTAAAAATTCAGGTAGGGGTTTTTGTTGAGCTTTAATTGTAAGGGTGGTGGCAGCCTGCAAAGATTGAACTGGAAAACCAGTGCTTTACTTAACTGCTGTTAAAGTAGCTCTCAGGTGAATTCACCCTGCTGCTTATCCTTTTACCCTCACAAATAACTGTTATTGATGTGATGTTTTTCCAGTTTAACTGTTCATCTGGCTGTATCAGCCTGAATTAACCACTGACTGACTCAGTTCACTTGATGGACAGAAATGAAAAGCTGTGGGGTAGAAGGCTACTGAACATAAATCCATGATGAGACATGTTCTTACTTAAACGTTCGTAAAAGGAAGAGTAGCCAGGCTTCCAGTTATAAATACATAGTAACTGTGCCACTCTGTAGAATTAGGTTAAAAACTCTGGTCTATATAGACTGAAAAACTAATGTAAATATGTGATCTTGGTCAAGGCAAAGAAAAGAGTCCTGGAAATGGACAGTGAAGATCTGTTTGCTGTCTAATGCTGTGCACCAGTATGCCTTTGCACAGTATTAACTCATGGGATTTTTTGTTAGTGAAAAAGTTTGTTCAGCTCACAGTTTTAAATGCCTTCCTCTGAGCCTCAGATTGGCTTTTTGGCCTATTGCAGGAATGTTTTGTTTATCATATGCTTGTTCTGCTTTTTTTTCTACAAACTTCATGACTGGGACCTGTATTTCATAAGAATGTTGTGTTTACTCTGGTTGGCTTTGTAATCAGTTCTCTTTTCCAGTTGTAGACCTGCTGAACTGTGTTTAGATGCTGTTGTTCCTGCATTTCAACAGCTAGAAGAAACTGCTACTTTGAGACCCTGTCATTGTTTTGTAAATCTTGGTGCTAGGCACAGCCATAGTGAAGTTTGAAGGCAATTGGTATTATCAGAGAATAAATAAATATAGAGAAATACTAGGTCTGTAAAGTGAAATTCTTCATCTACTGATTCTTTTGAAGGACTGATGGCTGGTTAAAGATTAGGGACACTAACATAAATATGTGTTGATTACTTCTAATTTGTGACCCTTCCCTTATGTTACCTCTTGACAGAAATTTTACCTATAAAACATAGTTTTTGTAAAAATAGCACTGGCTTGCTTATTTTTCTACATGATGATATCTAAGGTCATGCTTTCAGTTCTGTCTTGTTACTGACTACTTTTGAGTTTGGCATAATCTGTTACCAGTTAGTCTGCCGTTTTACTGATAACGGATACCTTGAACCATAATCAAGAAGAGTTTTATTGCATGAAGTAGGTGTTTATTGGAAACTTGTATTTTAAGATGATTACAAATCTAGGTTTTTAAATGGAATTTTGAAAGGGAGGCAAAAATTACTGAAGAAAACATTGAGTCAATTTGAAATATCTTAAGTGAACTAGCCTTTTGGGATCTTTTTGCACCTGCACAAAACCACAGTATGTTTTTATTACAATAATTTATTCAGAGTGGGCAAACAGAGTTGAAGCAGAAAATCTTGTTTTCTCACAGTCAATGAATTAAATCAAGGTTTGTGGCACATAGTCTTGAAGGCTGTGACAGCTAGAATTGGTTTCAGTCAACTTCAATTGTTACTGTTTAATTACTTTGAATGAAAAATGTGTTTTAAAAAACTCCTTTATGTGCCTTGCCTATTGAACATTGATTGTTGTAGCTAATAAATTGCATTCTATTGTTTTTCTGAGTTCTAATGAAATTCCAGTTTTCATTTGAGATAGACTGACGCATCAAAACAAATTGGCTGATAAAGTAGACTTTATAACACAGTGCATGTCAGAACGGAATATTATACACTAAGCTGTAGAACTGCTCAAATATATACATTTGTACTTTGTAAAGCAAAGGAAGATGCAAATTCACATGTCTGACTTTTGGTTAGTTCCTAAGAAGCTGTTTCTTACTAGACAAAATGTTAAATTTTAACTTACTAAAATCAGTTTTTTAAATACTTCTGGCTTCAGTTCACATTATTGATAGGCAAAAACTTTGTAATTCAAATGAAATAGTTGCTTTTCTAATGTTTTATGTTAATGATTCATTATTCTGTAAAGTTTGAACAATAGGTGATATCATTTTGGGGATTCCTTTAAAACTTCAAGCACATTTGAACTGGAAAAAAACCGGTTGTGATTGCTTTAATTCTAGATCTGATTGAAGACAATTCATATAGGTGACATGATTTTACACTTTTAGGTATGCACTTGCCAATGTTTTGTGGTCTGTATAGAACTTGTGATAGATATGGGCTTTGTCCTGTGTTCCTCAGCAGTGCAAATGTGCCTGCCTAGTGTTTGGGTTATTGGTGCCATTTTTAGGTAATGACTCCTCTGAATGAGGGGATATGTTTTTTCATCTTGCAGTTGGAGCCTTCCTGTATTCTCAGGTACAAAAGGCATCTCACCACTTCATTGTGATGGTTCAGGGTTTTGAGTAATCCACTACTTATGTAAATTCCTGTAGGAAAGTAACTAAACTGCTTTATTTTACACAATTGGCTTTGTCAGAATAATAACTCAGATGGTTATCATTACCTTTGTCTCTGCTAAGAATTTCTTCCCACTTCCATTGGTTTTTAGCTCAATATAGAGGCAAAAGGCAGCAGGGAAAACCTTGTGTTGGGAATGAGATTTACAGATTGATAAGTGTTTGCTAGTTCTCTCCAAATTAGCTGTTGAATGAAGAAAGATTTTTGTGGATGACTGCTGTTTATCACAGCTTCCCATGGATATGTTTAAATAAAGCTTGAGGCCTGGATCTTAATTAAATTCTCAAGTGAGGACAAGCACCCAGATGTGTTCAGCATAGGTCTGTTAGCAGCACCCATTGAAGTGGACAAGAATGAACCATGTAGGTGTCCCTGGGATCTGACTTACCTTCAGCAGGTAGGAATGAGGTGGCCAATGAAAGTGGTGTAGTTAATAATCACAGCCTGCAGAAACCAGGGCAGATAGTGAAGCCTTCTAGTGGAAGAGATACTTAACTTTTCTCGTTTATCTGTGATCCAACATTGAGTTTGAGAAAAATATTCTTAGCAACTTTGTGGCTACTACTGCTATCACTTGCAAAATTAAGGACTTTTAGAGGAGTAACTGTTTAGAAAGTATTTTACATTTTTTGAGTCCCTCTGTTGAAAGAAAATTTAAACTCTCCAAGAAGTAGGAAAGACACTGAGGAATGTATGAAGCTGCATGTTTACATTGCTTCTCATAGTTCTTACTGGAATTTTGCATTTCCTGGAGCTTTTGCCACTTACTTTGTATAATAAAGGTCTGGTGTTTACTGCACAGACTGTGGAGCTTGTATAGGGTCAAACTGCACCAAGGACAGATAAAGAACTGGTTTTCAAGTAAACTGATCTGATGCTCTTAGTGGTAATTCAGAGTAATTGCTGAAACAGGCTTCTTGAGGGAAGGGTAGCAGTCATTTCTTTCTTTAGTAAGAGCAATTCTTGCAGATAAAAGTATAAGACCTGCAGGAAAACAACATGTCCAAGTGGGTTACCAACAGAGCCAGAAGATTGGAGTGACTTACACAGGGAGAGAAAATGGTCTGCTTAATTAGCAAGGATGGCAGTGTTTTGGGATTTGTTTTACTTGCAGTAGTGCAAAAATGTCCTCGGGTTGCAAGACAAAATTTTAAGTTAGATTTAAGGTTTTTCTTACATACCCTGTTCATATTCTAATGATAGAATTGTGGGAGAAATTGCAGTAGGGCAGAAGAAATGGCATGCCATCTGGTTTTCAGCGTCCCCAAAGATGATGGATATATATGTGGAACGCTAACATTTTAGCTTGTATTTCTTGGCTACAGTTGAAATGGGCAAATTAATGTCTTCATGAAGCAATTGAAAATCCTGACTAAATACTTCCTTGTTCCTTGCAGTTGGGAAACATGAGTTAACTGGGCATAAAGTTGCAGTGAAGATCCTGAATCGACAGAAGATTCGCAGTCTTGATGTTGTAGGAAAAATCCGCAGAGAGATTCAGAACCTCAAACTCTTCAGGCATCCTCATATAATTAAGCTGTAAGTTTTGTCTGCTATAATCAAATATACCTCTTTTTGCTGTCACTGAATGGAAACATGTTTAAAGGGCAGTACTAGTGGTGTCTTGTCAGGAAAGTAAACAGCTTTCAAGTATGCACCATTTTTAGTGTCCTCTGTAATGGATCTGCACAAAACATATCTCTGCAGGCCAGAGAGCTTCCATTAGGTCTTTGCTTACAAATTCTTTGGACAGGTGTATAAAAGGTAATGGCATGATAGAAACTTACAGTAGCACCCACCTCTGGTTTTAGTTGCTCCTTCAGTTTGTGTTTTTTTTTTTTTTTCTAGTTGTATTGGGAAAATGAGTTATTAACAGCAAGACTGTAAAGGGCATCTCTTTAGTAAGTTTATTGTGTTTTCTTACTCAAAATATGTTTTTATTGATGTCCTGGTCAGTGATCTGTGGCTTTCTGTTGTAGATGGTGCTCTGAGATTTTTCTGAATTACAGCTGTGCAGTTTGCTAAATATGGTTGATATTTCAGAATTCTTCAATATAGCTGCTACCACTTTGTCTGAATGTGGTATTTACAGTGGGTCTGTTTACATCTGTTAGTTGCCTAAAAGTTCATCAGTGGAGTTCAGGGTACAATTAAACATGTCCCAGAGTAGAGCCCTCATGTCTGGTCTGAGGAAATAATTTATAATGCCATTGATTTTTTTCTTTTTTCTTAACTTTAATTTCCTGTAAAGATAACCTGTATCTCTGTAGTGTGGGTGGTTTTCACTGTCTTAATCATGGTGTTGGTGTTAGGTTTTTTTTTTAATTGGCAGAGTCTTGGCTTAAGACCCCACTGCCACTGACAGATGCTATCCCTATATGCTCCCTTTAATTTGGCAACAGCTCTTACACTGAAGCTAAATTGCATTGTGTAAGATCAACTCACTGACTTCTTCAGTGGATTAGTTTTCAGAAGACTATTGAGCTGATTTGGCTGCAGAATTGCTAGTGCTGCCAGTTAGAGTTCATGAATGAGTCCAAAGGACATACCTGTAGCCAAAACAAGTGTCAGTGTACTGGCTGAGATTTGGGAGTGGAACAGGAACGTGTGCTTTTGGTGGTCTTAAACTGTTAACAGGTTTCAAATGACAGGTTTTTTTCTTGGGGGATTACAAGGGAGATGTTTTTTCTCCTGCATGTGGAGAGAAGGGACAAAATGTAAGAGATGATGGAAACATTGACTGATCCTCAGCTTTTCATTTGGTCAGCTTGCATTTCTAAAGCAGAAGGATTGTTAGCCTATATGTAAATAGTGTTTGAGATGTAATTGATACTGTTGTGCAGGTAGACTTGCTGGTAACTTAGGCTCCTGCTGCTTGTGCTGTTAGGAACTAGATTGGGGAACTGTTAGACAGGAGTTTAAGGTATTTGGATCAGCTTTAATATTACAAATTAGACTGACTAATTTAGAACATTGCTGTGCTTTATGAAATTTTAATACACAACTTTAGCAGTATATATTGCAAGCCTGTTGCAATAAGATTTTCTTTCTATAACATAATTTAAATAAAAACCTTTGAAACATCTCCTCTTGCAGTTTTTGACCTCTAGCAATAGAATTCATCTTACTTTCCTACATAAAATTGCTTCTTTTTGCATTCCAGTCATCTGTGCTGTGTGGTTTGATAACCTTACTTACATTTTAGGTGTGTAACTATTCCACAACTCTGTTTCCACAACCAGAAAAATGACCTGACTGTAGAGAAGCATGGCTGTTACTTTGGGGTTAAAAGGATTAAAATACTATTTCTGTTGTAGTGTCTTAACCATGTCTTCAGAATATTGTTAATATTTAAGTACCTGATGTACTTTCAGCCAAGGTGTTGGAGAGAAAGTTGGTAAAGATAAAGCATCTTGGACTATTAAGATTTTTAGGTAAAACTAACTTTGAAGATCTCTTGTTGGTAACTGCCTCAGAAAGCTGTTGAGATTATTGTAGTGTTGCACAATAGGAAGCTGTTAAAATAGATGCAAAGACATATATGTGTACACGCACGTTCATGTGGGTAGCCTGAACTCATTGCTGTCTATGTAGTTCAAGAATAACTTGTCTCACTTAGCTGAAGCACGTCTGTTTTCCCCCTTGTCTTGGAATCAGTATTTTGAAGAACACTGCAGTTCTGTAGTATATCTGTGAATTCAGTTATTTATAACAATTCAGGTGTTTGCATGCTTAAGTGTAGTACCTAGAAATACTAATTTTATTTTAAGTGCTACCTCAATATAATATCTGTCTTAATATGATATCTGAATTTTGGCTGAAGAGTTATCAGTGTTCATTTTCTTGTTCCATTAAAAATCAATCACTTCTGACTGTGGTAAGGTGAAAAAATTAAACAACTTAAAGGTAAGGCTATGTAGAACAGAATTAAATTCTCTTAAATGGGGAGCTCGGCCGTAAACTAGTTATTTCAGAACTTCAAAGTTTTGGGGTTTTGTTGAAACTTAATTGAAGTAGGATGATAAAAATATAATAATGAGTGTTGATACTATTAAATAGTAATGATAAATTAGGTCTCTTTGTAAAAGATTATATTAAGATTATTAAGACCAATCTTTGCTTGTCTTGATGTACACTTTTTTATGGCAAGTCAGGTGTTTTGCATGTTAAGGTTGTAGAGTGTGTATTTTTGAGACACTAACATAAAGTCCTTTTGAGTTCCTTCCTCACTGCAGCAAGCTATCTGGGGTGTAGCATTATATATAAATAGTTTCATAGAAATTGTTTGGGCGAAGCTTAGCCCTCTGAAAGTACGAAGACTGATATTCCTGGTGGGAAATGTAAATTTCCTGCTAGTCTTGGCAATGAGGCATCACATAGTGAAAGGAGAGGAAATAACTTCTGAAAAATACTATCATTCCAATAGCTGTAAGCTGGCTGAAACATCTTTTTAAGTATACTTTTATCTGACTCTTTGCACAATTTTGGTTTTATTTAAATGTAACTAGCTTCTTTTACTGAGTGTGTAGACTAACAGATACCTTCTCTTATCAGGTACCAGGTCATCAGTACACCAACTGACATTTTCATGGTGATGGAATATGTTTCAGGAGGAGAACTGTTTGATTATATCTGTAAAAATGGAAGGGTAAGAAGTAGTCCAACTCTACAAATCAGTGACTTGCATTCTGTTACTGCTTTTGCATCATTCCTATGTGATGCAACTCTGGGGGGACAAACGGGTTCTTTTTGGGATTCCTTGATGGAATAATATAATTAAAGCTTTAGTTTCTTAACAGGTTATTATGATTAGTGTAGCACAGAATTTATGATTACAGTGGCACAGGGTTTCTACAAGCAGAATCAATGTAGTGTATGTAATACAGAATTTATAATACAACTTAACTTACGATTTCTAATCACCTAGACCCTCTGCAGATTGGGTCAGATCTTAATACATGGTTTGTTGTATCAGTATAGCAATCACAGTCTAGACTCAAAAATCGTATGGAAGATAAAAGTCCTTCAGTCCTTAGAGGAAGGAGGGGATGGGGGAGGCATTCCAGGCCACCAGGGGGGCTCACAGGTCTCACTGCCCAGCAGCAGTTCTGATCTGGGTTTCGCTGTTTAGCACTTATAACTGATTTTACGGAGAGTGCTCTGGGTGCTGTTACACTGCCCTGTTCTGTGATGGGATCACCGCCACCTGTCTGGCCCAGTGCTTGAGACATTCAGGGCTGGTAAGGAAGGAAGCAATCAGCCTGATGCCCAGGAATCTTGAGGCCAACAGGGAGGGGAAGAAGGCTTTGTTCGTCTACGTGGTTCACAAGACCTTCAGGAACTAATAATGAGGGAAAGGGCACGGATACCTGACTCAGTCACAAAATGGCTGCTTGCCTCTTCAAATGGTGTTAATTATGTTAACCACACTACTGGGGGCCGGGAGCAGGGAGTACTAGTCACGCCATGTTAAATGAAAGTTTGGGTTTATGTATTCAGCATTAATTTTGCTGTTAGCAACTAAAATATACTTTATTGCTACTATTGTTCTAAAAGTAAAAACGGTTATATGAACACATTTCAGGTGTTTATGTGTGACTTTGTCATAGCGTTTTTCCTCTCTACTGATACTGATATATTAATTTACGATTACTGTGTACAAACTGAATGGATATGTATCCAGCTGGAGTGGCTGAAAACTTACTTCTTCAATATAGCCCGTTATATGAAGGCTGTGATTGTGCCCTTATTTCCCTCTTCTTTTAGTAGAACAGTTTCTGTGACAGCTCTGAAGGCTCTTTTGACAAGCCATCTAGATAGCTGGGGTACTTTTAGTAGAACAAACTTAGTTAACAGCAAACCTTGACATGGATTAGGGCGAGTTCAATGCCCAGCTAAGTCTGCTGTTTGGGGTTAGCTGGTAATAGCATAAATAGCATCTAAAAATCTATAGCTTGTGTGCTGTGTGTCAGAAGCTTTTATCAACTTAAATCTTGTGCTGTGCTTAAATGTCAAAGTTAATTGATACTCCAAGTAGACAGAGTTAGTATTTTGGTGCTAATGTTTCTAGTTAATGAGAATGTAACATCTGCCTAATCAAATTCAAAAGCTTGATTGAGAAATTTCAGTGACTTTGAGTCAGCGGGTATGTTTTGCTCTAGTCATTTTAGACCTGTGGTACAAACAAAATGATGTAAGCTGTGAAGCTTTCTACTACAAGTTCTGATAATCTATATAAAGTATCAAAGCTATAAATGATAACTGCAGGTCATAGGAAATTTTCCTTTAATTCATATAAATGAAAAACAAGTTGACCTTCCGCTGTCTCATAATTGTTTAAAACCTTTGTCGTAGCTTGATGAGAAGGAAAGTAGACGTTTGTTCCAGCAAATCCTTTCTGGTGTGGATTACTGTCACAGACATATGGTAGTACACAGAGATCTGAAGCCTGAAAATGTGCTGCTTGATGCACATATGAATGCCAAGATAGCTGACTTCGGTAAGTGTTATTGTTTTATATTTGATCACATCTTGTTATTTAGATCCTGTTAATTACTATGGGAAATATTTAATAAAATGTGTGTATTTGAGTATCCTGGTGGTAGGACATAATACAACAACCTGAAGAGTATGAATGTAAAGCAGAATTATGTTATTGCACATATGTAGGGCTTGTTTTTTTCTCAAACTTGATTTTCAGGTATTTTTTGTGGGTAGGTCAAATTGTGAACTGATCTGTTCAGTTTTGCCTAATAGTATTGTTTCTGAAATGCTAAATAAACTTAGTTCCTGATGTTGCCACTTCAGAATGTACTCCTGTTGCCTATTTTACCATCTGTAAAATGTAGATGCTTAGCTCTCTTAGAAGTACATTGCAAGGGCAGCTCATCATGCATTGCTGTATTAAAATACCCTTGTCCTCTTATTAAACAACTCTTAATTTTTAAAAATTCTAAAGATGTGATTGAAGAAATGTAATTAAAGCATAAAAGGCAGAATAAGAACAGTTGATCTTGCAAACTCCTGTGCTTTTTTCCTATATACGTGCTTAACTAATCAGAAGGCTTAATTGTTTTAAACTAGCTGTTTGTGACAATTGCCGAGAAGAGAAGACTGGCAGCTAGTTCTTGGAACTAGCTGAACCAGAAAAGCTCACCATATTAGCATATGAGATCATGTCATCATGATAGGTCTCTTGTAGATATAGTAGATAATACCTGCCCTTGTAAAGCACTTTGAAGTCTCATATGAAAGCTGCTATGTAATGCTGAGTATTCTAGGTATATTTTAAATGTATGGTGTTCACGTATATGAGTACCGAGAATCATCTTCATTTCTTACGTATAGAAAATGCTTTGGGTGAAATGGCTTAGGTGGTGAAGAAATAAAAGTACAGTAACTTATAAAAATATCTTCCTGTAATGTAAGTATCATCAAAGCTGTAGCACTCAGTTAATCATGACTAGTGTATTAAACAAGAGGTTAATAAAAGCTTTTGTGTACCAAAATACCAAAGCTAGCCAATCTTTACTCTTTCATCTCCCCCTGCACCCCAGTAAAGAGGCATCATTCCTTCTTGGAGACTGAGTTCTCTGGCTTATGGTAGTCTTGATCATGCAGCCTCCATTGAAGAAACTAGAAGGTATTTTTGGCTATTCTAGAAGTTGTAGTTCTTTACTGATACTAGACTGTACTGAGGTCTGGTGAATGAATAAATATGGCTGAGTTCTAAATTTCACTTTATTTACTAACAGATTACCTAAAATCAAACTACTGAACTCCAGTGATTCAGGAACCAGCTGCGCACTGTTGGTGCCTATATTGTGGTGAAGTCATGTGTACCCCTCAGTTTCCTTATTCTATAGAACCTGTTACAGAATTTTAGGCAGCTCTGTGGTAGCACCTTCCATTTTGGCATTTAGAAGCAAATGTGCTTTTAAGACTTTCTTGTTAATAACCAAAATCCTAACTTGCTATGCTGCTCCATCTCCTTTAGAGCAACTTTGTTCTGTCATGCCTGTGTCATCCAAATTTGAGTGATTTTTGTCTTGGAATTAATGTTCTCAAATATTTATAGGTTGTGTGCTATAATGGATTGATTTTACGCAGATTTCTGGTAAACTAAATGGAGGATTGTGTGACATGCTCATGTAAAAATTTTGGTAATTCCAAACTGTGTAACTTCTTTACTGAGGTAAATTTTTTGATTTTCTAATTTGAATTACTAGTGACTTGTTCTAGATGGTATATGCAGTGTGAAATCATATTACTCTGAATTTTTATTAGTTGCTCTTGCACACTTTCAGGTCTATCAAATATGATGTCAGATGGAGAATTTTTAAGAACAAGCTGTGGTTCCCCTAACTATGCTGCACCAGAAGTAATTTCAGGAAGGTAGTTTCTTTTATATTGGATACATATGTGCATGTACTTAGGTCATTTTGCAGCTTGATTTTAAAGGCTACAAAACTGGCTCAGCTGGCAGACTTGATGCTGGGAAACCGTGGGCTGAACTTCTAATTTCCTTGGTAATTTTTCATGAGTATTCAAGGCTTCTATGAGCTAGCTTTGAATAATTCCTGTAAGATGGAGGTTATGTCTGATGCTCCAAATCCGGTGTGTACAGTATGCTTGAATTGGTTTAAAAAATTTCACTTACAGCTCAGATCTTGAAAGTAGATGTACACATGGAATTACAGGCAAAGTCTACTGTCAAGTTGCGTAGATGTGAAATACCTTCTGCAGAGTAGATACTCAGTCTGAAGGTATCGGGCTGTTTGGAAATTAATTGCTGATTTCAACCTATATGTTTGAAGTGGCATATCTCAGCTCAGAATAAAATTTATTAATTGAAATAAAACCCATTAGACTCAACCCATTTTTGCCAAAAGAAACAAGCATATTTATTCTGGTTACATAAAATTTTGGACTTCTGGAGGTGATGATGTCATCGAAGGCAGTTTTGGCCTCCCATTGGTTTCTGAAGCGTCTCCCGCACAGGAAGCTGTTGAGATGCTTGAAGAAGTGATAGTCAGTGGGTGAGAGGTTTGGTGAGTACGGTGGATGAGGCAGAGTTTCATGGCCCAGCTTGTTCAACCATTGCAGCATTGAAAGTGCAACGTGTGGCCGGCCCCATGTTATCGTAGAGAAGGATTGGACCCTTTCTGTTGACCAGTGCTGGGCGCAGCCATTGAAGTTTCTGGTGCATTTCATTCATTTGCTGGATGTACTTCTCTGCTGTGATCATTTCACCCGGATTCAGGAAGCTGTGATGGATTAAACCGGCAGCATACCACCCAACAGTCAGCATGACCTTTTGGTGCAGATTCAGCTTTGGGAAGTGCTGCAGAACTTCATCGTGGTCCAACCACTGAGCCGATCGTCACCAGTTATTGTAGGGCATTCATTTCTCATCGCATGTCACAATACAGTCCAGAAACGTGTTGTTCTGGTTGCGAAAAAGAAGCGCTGCCGACACTTCAAAATGGCGATTTCTGTGATTCTCATTCAATTCATGTGGCACCCATTTGTTGAGCTTCTTCGACTTTCCAGTCTCCTTCAGACACTCAGAAACAGTTGATATGCTTACCCCAAGTTCTTTTGCAAGTTCTCAAACAGTTGTGTGTGTATCTGCTTCCACCAGAGCCTTCAATTCATTGTTGTCAGTAGCAGAAGGACGTTAACGACCTTCTTGATCTTCAAGGTTGAAATCGCCACGTCGAAATTTTTGGAACCAAAGTCACACTGTCTGTTCATTAACACTTCCCTGGCCATATACCTCATTGATGTTTGGAGCAGCTTGCGCTGAATTATGTCCAAATTGGAACTCGTAGAAGTAGATCTGTTGAAATTGCTGTTTTGACATCTGAACTTCAAACCTCCAAAATTTGTCAAAAACGCAGTTTACATTATGAACTTTCATGCTGTAATTAAATTATAACATGAGCTTTTCAAAAATATGTAACAGTATGCCAGTCGAGAAGGTACTATTCCTGAAACATGAAAATCACATTACAGAACGGAAATTAATTTCCTAACAGCCTAATAACTTCCCCTTTTGGGACTCAGTTGCCAAATGCTACTTTCAGCTACTCACTGTAATATTGCTTCTTGCTCACTGAAGGCCAAATGTCTGTTTTATTCAGGTGGTAGCACAGAATACATGACAAGTTCTGCTATATGGACTTGTCTTAAACTTCTCAGCCTCCCAGATTTGGGGGATAGAGAACTTTGCTAGAACAGTGACAACAATATATAGCACAGGCTTTCTTAGTAGTAGGTGCAAGTTTCTTTCAGTTTGCCATTGTCTTAAATTGTGTTCATGGATTATTGTTAGATATTAGAGAGAAAAGCTACATGCTTGTGCCCTGTTACATATTTGGAGGGGAAGGACACTGAAGTTCAAGGGTGGCATAGTATAGAACTGAAATGGTATAGTACTTGCAGATTAGTTGTCCACAGTTCATACACTTTTAATTACTGTGATACAATGTGAGAAAGTAGAGGGAGAAAATCTATTTAAAGACAAATCACTAATAGCTAACTTTTTTCCAGATTATATGCAGGTCCAGAAGTAGATATTTGGAGCAGTGGGGTTATTCTCTATGCTTTGTTATGTGGAACGCTACCATTTGATGATGATCACGTGCCAACCCTCTTCAAGAAGATATGTGATGGCATCTTTTATACTCCTCAGTACCTGAATCTGTCTGTAATTAGTCTTTTGAAGCACATGCTGCAAGTGGATCCAATGAAGAGAGCAACAATCAGAGACATCAGGTGAAATGTTAACTCATGTCTGATCACAGGATGCTGGAACAATAATCTCAGTGCAGATAGCAGAACAAATAAATCATTCTTATAGCTTGTTCATGTTTTAGACTGAGATGAAAAATTCAACTTCCTGTGTTTTGGCTCTAGCTGTGATGGTTCTGATCTCCAGTGACCAATGAGGTATCATCACAGTAAAACAAATTATATACTTTACATACAGAACTTCTGAGGAACTCTAGGTTTAAGACTGCTGGAACAAAGCTGTTTAACTGCAGAACGATTTGCAAAAACTACACTGTATTGACTTACCTGGGCAAAAACACCCGTCACTGTTAAGAACCTGTATTCTGTACTGTAAATGTCTGAGGGGAAGTTAGGGTTCTTTAATCTGATAACTACCACTTTTATTCATATTTTTTGAGGCTCTGAAAAATCATTTAAGACTGTGAATATTCCACATGTGAGATAGCACTTTATAGCTTCAAAACCCTGGCATGAGTTTGTGTATGAGTGATAATTACGGCATCAAATACTGCTAAGTTAAAAGTTGCAGTTACAGATAGCTGTCGTGGGCTCCAGATTGCAAGAGGAGACTCTGAAGAAGCTGATTGCTTTGGCGAGTGTTTAGAGGGTCAAACAAAAAAAAATTGGTTGCTGATAGAGCTGTACTTCATGTAGCAGCTTAGTTAGGTTTTCCAGTTTCCTTTGTAAGAGACTTAAGGATGAAGCTCTGACGTACTACTTTAGTGGAAATGCTACTCCTTTTAGGATTGGAAGTTAGAAAGTAGGCAATGTTCATGTTCTTTAGAACAAAAAGTGGAGCATTTATGCCTTGCTACTGTATTACAATGGGAAGTACTTTATTGCAGATTCAACACACTGAGAACTAAGCATTGGAAAACTTGAGTGGATAAGAATGTAGCTTAATTCAGTCATGTTTTTAAATAAGTCTGGAAGAGAAGTGGTATGAAAAAGATGTCAGAAAATGTTGGTTACAGAGCATGGATGGATTTTGAATCCTAAACGGTTCTAGGCATGTCACTTCACAGTTTAAAGGACAAACTGAGTTTAATTGAAGACCTTAATTTTTCTAGGGGAGTGTGTGTTTGCATGCAAGAGGAGAAGCCCAGTGCAATGAATAGTAATAAAATATTCCTCTGAGCTCAATCATCCAGCTAGGGCTGTGCTTTGTAGTGGTATAGGAGAAGCTTTTTCTGCTTCTGAATTAATTGGTTGCTTCTGATGAAAGTGTATTTGGCCTCAGTACGTTACTGCTGAGGCATGTTCTCAGGATCACACTGACTAGAGCTTGGCCCATTGTACTGCTTTTGGCTGGGATAGTGTTAAATTTCTTCACAGAAGCTTGTAAAGGGCTGTGTTTTGGATTTGTACTGAAAATAGTGTTGGTAACACTCTGATTTAGTTACTGCTCAGCAGCGTTTACATAGTGTGAAGACCTTTTCTGCTCCTTATACTGCCCTGCCAGTGAGCAGGTTGGAGGTACACAGAAGTTGGGAGGGAACAGAGCTGGGACAGCTTGACCCCAACTGATGAAGGATATTCCATACTATATGACACCATGCTCAACAGTACAACTGGGAGGGTGGTTGTTGTGGGTGGGCTGCTGGTCAGGGACTGGCTGGGCATTGGTCAGTTGAGCAGTTGTTTTCATTTGCATTACTTTTTTTTTTTCCTTAAAAATTAATATTTTCTTTCTAATTATTCAAGTGTTTTTATCTCAACCCACAAGTTTCTCAAATTTACTCTTCTGCCCCTCATCTCACTGGGCGTGGAGTGAGCATGTAGCTGTGTGGTGCTTAGTTGCCATCTAGGGTTAAGCCATGACATCTGTATAACTGCTCTTAAATCTGTAGCAAGTCTTTACATTATAGCCTAGAATACTTTTAAAAATGGTTTTATAATCAGACAAAGCCAATTTTTATAAAAATACGTATTTTTATTTGGGTTCAGTCAATTTAGGGTGGGAAGCAATAGGCACAGCAGCGCTGGGTGCAGGGAGAGCCGCAGCTCTGCCACACACACACACAGAGTTCCAAAAAGCAGCGTTTTTTATACCTTGTGCCATTGTCTTTAACCAATCTCCTCCCGTCAGATAATTGTCCTGCTTTTTCTCCATTGGGTCCTTTGAGATGCTTGGGTCTTTGTCCTCCTCCTGTGGGGTCTTTTGGAAGTCTTGAAGCCTTGGTCTCTTGGTGCGCTTTTCTCCTATTGGATCTTTTAAAAGCCTCATGATTCAGTTTTTTGGCGGGCTTTTCTTCAAGTAGCAGTTACAGGTTATCTCTAGGTGGGGGGGGCAGGGGGGTCTGAGAAGAGGTTACATATTAGCCCTAGGTGATGAGGTTTCCGAGAAGTAGTTACGTTTTTCCAACCAAATGGCATACTTTATATTTTATCCATATATATTCAAACATTCATTGTAATATAGGTTATAGTAACTGCAGATCATTTCAAAACCCACACAGGGTACCATATTCTATTTTTACAATACTTTAAACAGCAGGATAGTGTGGTTTAACATTTACAGATCATTCAAACCTATCATACCTGCCTTGCTTAACTTGGCAAATTAGTTACAATAGTTTATTACAATGGTATCATGCCATACCCTTTGGCTAGTTAAGCAGCTTACTGTAGGTGCACAAAACAAGCTTACTTTTTCTCTATGATTGTGCAGTGTAAGTATTTGATTCCTCTGTATCTTTCCTTTCCCTCTTACGAATGAGTACCAGCCCATGGGTACAGTAGTAAAAAGGTACAAATCAACCCTTTTATAGCTTCCCTCAACTTTTTTAAGTCTTAAAGAGACAGCTGGGGGTGTTCTGAATGAAAAAATGATAAGATTGTTTGGTGTGGGGAGCATGTGACTTCAGCATTCAAAAATCTGTGTCCAGGCATCTACTAAAAAATTAATCATCAACACTTCTTAATTTTGTTATGTATTGTTATGTGTGTACTTGGGGAGGGATGACTCAAGTGGATAGTAGAAGAATTTCAGTTGAAAATATCTCAAAACTAACATAGTGGCAGTAAAAAATATGCCATTTATATAAAAAGCTGGTTGAGTTATACGAAGATATTTATAGAGCTCAAGTAGTTGAAAGACTTAGAGGAAAGAGGATTTTTTTCAGTCCTGCAAAATGTGTAGCAAAATCTAGTGATGAATGCATTTATTACTTTATGTACTGGTTTATTGTCTTGTGCTGCATAGAAGAGGACTTGGACTGACAACTGATTTTTTTTTTTTTTGGTGCAGCCTAAAGCTTATTTTTTAAAATAATTTCATATTAAAAAGCTTTGCTTTACATACATCTACTCAGTGTTGTGGTTTTTGTTTTTTTTTTTAATTATTTTTAAATCTAGGGAACATGAATGGTTTAAGCAGGACCTTCCAAAATACTTGTTTCCTGAAGACCCATCCTATAGCTCTACCATGATTGATGATGAAGCATTAAAAGAAGTGTGCGAGAAGTTTGAATGCACTGAAGAGGAAGTGCTAAGCTGTCTATACAGCCGAAATCATCAGGACCCTTTAGCGGTTGCTTATCACCTCATTATAGATAATAGAAGAATAATGAATGAGGCCAAAGACTTCTACTTGGCTACAAGCCCACCGGATTCTTTTCTTGATGATCACCATCTGTCTCGCCCTCATCCTGAAAGAGTGCCATTCTTAGTAGCTGAAGCACCACGTCCTCGCCATACTCTCGATGAGCTGAATCCACAGAAGTCAAAACACCAAGGTGTAAGAAGAGCTAAGTGGCACTTGGGAATACGGAGTCAGAGTCGACCAAATGATATCATGGCTGAAGTTTGTCGAGCAATTAAACAACTGGATTATGAATGGAAGGTAAAAGAATAAAGGCTCTTTATACCAGACAACAGTAAATTTTTGTTTGAGCTGAGTAGTTAGGTAGCCTGGAAGTCTGAAATTGTCTGCTGGTAAATAATCTCATATGCCTGTGCTGACTGCTTGTGCTTGCGGTGCAGGAAAAGTTTTGTGGGAGGCTATTCATGCTGACAGGAAAAAAAGTCTTGGTAACATGTCTAAGTTTTCTACTGGGGCTGTGGGAATGTTTTTTCTGTTGGCTAAAACCCCCTATAACTCCAACAGGTAAGCCTGAAATCACTTGATAATACCAATGAGCTGACATGACAAAACCAACAAGCAGTGCTTTTCAAGCAGTTCTAGAAACTAACACAAATCTCTTGTACTAGGTTGTAAATCCATACTATCTACGTGTTCGAAGGAAGAATCCAGTAACAAGTGCATATTCCAAAATGAGTCTACAGCTGTATCAGGTGGACAGCAGAACATACTTACTGGACTTCCGTAGCATTGATGGTATGTGAAGACTTACATAAATTAATGTAGTTGTATGGGAAATAATACTAAATGCAAACATGTCTTAATTGTTTAGAAGTGAACTGTTACCCTTTATTAGTTTAAGCCAATCTAGATCTGTATTTAATGTTTCTTTATTTCTTCCTAGTCTAGTGTTCCTGTGATCAGATGGTTAGCTGCTTCATCCTTTTAATAGCATTTTACTATAACAGGTCTTGAACTGCTCCATTTGTGTCTGTACCAGCACAAACACCGCTGGTGCAGAAGGGGACAGGGCTGTGAGGTGAGATTTGACTTAACCTGAACTGTCCCTGTAGCCTCACTCCCAAACCTAAACATTAATTTTGATCTCAAGTAAACATGTAAATAACATTTCCTAGTGAAGATAAAGCTTGGTATCTAAGCATTTAAATTTGACTTGGAACTGTACATTGCTGTACTGGGTCTAGCTGAGATGGATTTAATTTTCTTCATAGCAGCCTGTATGGTGCTGCGTTTTGGATCTGTGACTAAGTGTTGGTAACACACTAGTGTTTTAACTATTGCTTAGCAGTGCTTGCATAGTATCTGGTCTCTTTTTCCCCCACTATGTTTTACCCGGTGAGTAGGCCAGGAATTTGCAAGCTGGGAGGGGTTGGAGCCTGGAGAGCATAGCCAGGTTGACCAAAGGGATATTCCATGCCATATAATATTATTCTTAGCAAAGGAACTGAGGGGTTGGGGTTTGAGGAAGGTAGCCTTGAGACTGACTGGGCATAAGTCTGCTTTGGATAGGTGGTGAGTGGTTGCCTTTGCTTAATTCCCCACACCTTTTTCTTCCCCTTATTAAAATATCTTTATTTCTACCCAGCATTGTTCTCACTTCTACATTTCTAGTTTTCTTCCCCATTGCGCTGAGGTATTAGCTGTGAGGTAGAGTTGACTCACTACTGCTAGTAGTAGACAAAATTTGAGATAGGAGTTGTATGCTTGCAGTAACTGAAGCCTTGAAAGCAGTTGGTCTAACCTGTAAAAAGATTTATTTTTATAGAGTGACAGTACACAGCATACAAATGCTGGTTGGATACCTTCCTAAAAGTGAATGGAGGAGCTAATAGAGACTGGCCACAATGCTTATTTATGGGCACAGTAGACTAAAGCAGGGTTCCCTATAGCCAGTGGTGTAGATGACGTGCCTAGGAAAACATGTGGTATGGAAAAAGGATTTACTGGAGTGTGGCTGGATTAGAGTGTAGGGTGGCTAAGGTTACGTCTGGTGACAGTTTAATCTGGTCTGGCTTTGCAGAACAGTTCTTGACTCTTCCCTTCTGACAATACTGGTCCTTGCTTAGATCCAATGGTACTTGATACAGGGGACTAATCACTTTCCTGTACAGACCTGCTGCAACATAGGACAAATGCCCTCCCTGTTGGAGGAAGATGACTGCTTAGAGGCATGCAGCTGGGAGAGGGCAGCCTGCTGCTATCCTGGCTTCAGCTCTTAGCGAAGTACAACTGAAGGATTTGATCTCTTCCAACAGTGTGGCTGATTTGACTTTCCTTTCTCTCCACCAGTTAATTGTCTATGTTCCTCTTACCAAACTGTAGTTTAAAGTAGCTTTGCTGTGAAGAGGCAGGCAGTCTTTCCTGTGTTCACCAATTCGTCCTAGAAATAAATTTTTTGGTGCCAAGTGAGTCGAACTCCTGTTCAGTATTTAAAGTAAGAATAGCGATACTTCAGCAGAACATTACTTCTAAGACAAAAGTATTTCCTCCTCATAGAGAAGGTAACTTTATCTGCTGCAGCCCAAATGTGCAACATACTAGGGGGGAAAGACTTCCAAAACTGAAAGATGAATGAATGCAGGTGCTAGCAATTAATGTGTCAATTATAATAAAAATGCAAAGAGCAACTGATAAATAACCAATTATAAAGAAAACAAAAATAGAATAAAATACATGCTAGCAAAAAGCATCTACAAAATGTTTTAAATGTTACTGGACTTAACCTTATAGTGCTGTCCTTGTTTCCAGTAACCTAAATTAGATGCTGAAATTAGTTCATGAAAAATATGGCAAGTGCTGGTCTAAACTAGATGTAAATGTTTCTGGAACACAGTTCAGAGTAGAGGAATAACTTGCATAAGGACACTTGCCTTCTGTGTTACTGCTATGTATAAACTTGTATTTTGTATTAAATGTATACAGTTTGCAAAAGCTGTTCATGTATTAAGATTTTAAAAAACAAGATTTAGAGGTATCAGGAGAATATTTTCTGTTCCTATAATTGATCTGATGCCGATACCTAATTTTCTTCCCCTCTCTCCCCTTGCCCCCCAGATGAAATTACTGAAGCGAAGTCTGGGACTGCAACCCCACAGAGGTCGGGTTCTGTGAGCAACTATAGATCCTGTCAAAAAGATTCAGATGCTGATGTGCAAGGAAAATCTGCGGATACTTCCCTTACCTCATCAGTGAGCTCTTCGCTTGACTCTTCTACAGCTGATTTAACTCCAAGACCAGGGAGTCATACAATAGAATTTTTTGAGATGTGTGCAAATCTTATTAAAATACTTGCACAATAATTTTGAATATGGGCTTATTTCTTTTATAGCAATAAGCATGCCTAAATCATAGTCAAATGCTTCCACTTATAATCAAGTTAAATTAACTAAGGCGCTGAAAAAGCTAGCCACAGAATGCAATTTGCACAGGGATTGAAAATGATTATGGGCAGTTAATGTATATATGAAGCTGGAGTGAATTCTGATTGTCTGCTGTCCAGTACTGTAATACAGGTATAGGAAATCACATGCTGTTGGGGCAGCTTTCATAACATTTTACATTGAGTGCACATTAGACTGCATATAACATTTAAGTTAGAGAGACCTTCCTGTTTTTTCACTGATAATACATACATCTGATGCACTATAAGTAAATGTACACTTACTAGTTCAGTGACCTAAGTGTGACTTGTTGGTCACCATCTACAGTTGTGCCTCAGTTGGTCAGAACTCTCAACACTTTCTAACAGTCATGTGTTTAAAAATGCTGTGTTTCTTCCCCCTTACTTGACATTAAATGATCAAGAACAGTTTAATGCGTTATAATATATGACTTTTAACAATTGGTAAATTTGATTGAATGATGCAAATTGAACCAGTTGGAAATGCATGTAGGTGCTTTGTAACGCACTGAAGGGTGAAATTCTGTGGAGCTCAGTGGAACAATTCAGTCCACAGCAAGTGGTGAGAGACTTGCTGCTGAGAAGACTTGGGACCCCATGGGCTAAACCAAAATGTTGCTCTGTGAAGAGCTGTCAGCAAGCTCCTGATCTGTGCATATACAGTAGCTTGGTTGCAGCACAGCAGCTCCCCACTGCTAATGTAGGCTGAGAATCCTTTTCCACAGAAACATGTGCATTTAGTTAAGAGCACAGCCCAAGGTTGCATGCTATTCCAGAATCTGAAATTGAAAAAATGTATGTTTGAAAATGTTAAAATTTTTATAAATGTATGTTAATTTTAAAATTTAAAATAATGTATGTTAAAACTGATAAAGCTGTTTATCACAGTTAGCATGTACTATACAGAATTCACTTTGCAATTGAAACTTTATATATAGGTTAGGTTTTCCCAGGCCACCTTTGTAGCAAACTTTGCTATTTAAATTAATTGTGAAATTAAATAGTCAAATTTTTTTCAGTTGAACATTGAAAACTGGTCATGACAACTTGAGTGCTAATATTCAAAAAGTTTTCAACAGTAGATTGGAATTACCAATAACATAAATCCTTCTGCATTTATGGGTTTTGCAATATTTCAGGAAGAAAATTTAACTTTATATGTTAAAATCACTGCTAGTACTTGCACAAAAACATTTAATGTCTTGTAAATTGGATATAATTAGCCACGGTTCCATTTTAATCTATAAATAATAAACAGTCAACTCTGTCATAAAATGTTTTGTTTTGCATTCAAGAATTTATGTACTCTTCAGAATAAGATTGATGATTCAAAGCCTGCTGTCCCAGGGAAAGAGTGGAAAACAAGGCATTACCATGAACAGTGGAACTTGGATTCTTAAAATGGATGGGGATTCTTGCCAATGACTGAGATTTCATTGATGAAAAACTGCTAGCTACAGCTACAAGAACAGTTTAATCCAGGCCAGCTGGCTTCAGTCTAGAAATTCACCTGTTACGAACATGCACAGAATCTGAAGAAACATAAAGCTGCTTTAAGCCCCAGAACTGCTGCAATTGCATTCTGAACTGGGCAACTGTGTGCTCTGTCTAGTATGTAGGTACAGGTGACAACTTCAGTTCTTTATCTTCCTGTGTCACACACAGTCCCTGTAATGCAAGGTTGTAGTACTGTATATCAGAGGAGAATCTTCTGAGATAAAGCTTTGGTTTAAACTTGTGAGGTTGAGATGTCCAACATAAGGGACCAGCTGCAAATCCTACTTTTAAGTCCTGTAAGAATTGGTTCTGATATACTAAATAAATCTGTGTTCATTTCTGTTACCCTTTTATTACAAAATAGTTAACTATTGCATTTGTACAGATATAATGGACGCACGGGTTTTTACTTGTAGTAATTCCTCATCTGGAATTGGTTTGGGGGGCACTCTTGCAAAACTGAACTGAATGTTTATAAATGATATCTGCTTCTTGTAATGCTGACCACAAATGCAAGGTGTCAAGGTGCAAATAACTTTCAATTTTTATATACTTTTTTGGCCCTCTTGTGCATTAAGACAACCATAGTTTTTCCTTTGTTTTGGTATCTGGAAGTTAAAGTTAGTTTCGGGCAGAAGTGTACTGTATGTGTAGTTTTAAATAAAGTCAACTTTACTGGTATGATAAATAACTTTTGATGGCCAAAAGTTTTCTGATTGAACTAAGATTTTTATAGGGGATAGGGGGAGAAAGGTGGACCGACAACCTAGCTGAACCCAGAACAGCTGTCTGTTGCTTGACTTTCCTATGCTTTCTAGATCTTGCTGTTGAAACTGCTTTCTTCATATTCCTGCTGATCTTGCAGAGCTTCTTTTGGCATTGTGCTAGAATCTGCTAATAACCAGTGAAACAAAACTTCATTAAGAAAGCTGCCAGGGCTCTAAGGAGGCAGTTTATGCAAATACACAAATTGGTCAGTTGAAGTACATTGAATTATCTTGCGTTTGTATTGTAATTTTTCCAAAAACATGGATTAACCTGATAGTCCATGTGCAATATAATTCGCTAGGTAATGGATAAAAATTCATCTTGGTGGTGCAATATTTAGAAGAAACTTTCATGTCTGTCATGATATGAGCATTTAATACAAACTTGGAAATAAATTTTATTTTACCAGTTGATTACCATTATAAGATATGACGTCCTATTCTTTAATAAAGATGTGCCTACTTCTATGTTAATTTCTTTTGACAAAGCTGAATGGCAAAAATGCTTGTTTATAACTATACTTTTTAAATTTTCAGAACTTTAAAACTTAAGTAAACCTGAAATACTGAACCATCTTCTCTGAAACTGTGTGCATGCTATCTTTTGTTATTACAAATGAACAGAGGACTGTTACTTGTTGGGCTGCCAGCTATGATAGCTTGGCCCCTAACTGCTTTCCTGTATAATCAGACAAAGCCAATTTTTATAAAAATATATATTTTTATTTGGGTTCAATCGATTTAGGGTGGGAAGCAATAGGCAAAGCAGCGCTGGGTGCAGGGAGAGCCGCAGCTCTGCCACACGCACCCCGAGTTCCAAAAAGCAGCGGTTTTTATACTCTCGTGCCATCGTCTTTAACCAATCTCCTCCCGTCAGATAGTTGTCCTGCTCTTTTCCATTGGGTCATTTGGGTTGCTGGGGTGCATGTCCTCCTCCTACTGAGTCTTTTGAAAGTCTCGAAGCCTTGGTCTCCTGACTCGCTTTTCTCCTGTTGGATCTTTTAAAAGCCTCATGATCCCATCCTTTCGGCGTCTTTTCTTCAAACAGCAGTTACGTGTCAGCTCTGGGTGGGGTTTCTGAGACACGGGTACATTGTTGCAATCTGAATGGCCCACTTTACATTTAATTGTTTAACTTCTACAGATCATTCAAGTGTACCTATCCGCCTTCCCTAACCTAACAAATTAGTTATAATAGTTTATTACAGCACCCGCCTTCCTTAACTTGACAGTTACCATAGTTTATTACACTGTAGATCCTGTAAACTCTTGCTGCAAAAAGGAATTTGAAATGGAAAGAACACTGAATACTGTTAAAGTCCTCTTCTGCCCTGCCCTGTGGTGATTCGCGCTACCTTTCATCTTTCACTCTGCTGTTCTCACAAACCGTGGATCGTTCTTTTATCTTGGTATTTGCCCCTGTAACGAGGGAGCAGTTTTAAACCCTGTAGCCTGTCTTATACTTTTAGGTGGAAAAAAATGAACACCGTCCTTTCCAACCTTGGCTATGGTAGTACTTCCACCCACGCCGGAGCCGCCTCCCCCCTGGGGAGGTGGCTGCTCCCCCAGGGAGCAGTGAGTCCCGTTGAGCTGTGGGTGACACGCAGGCGCCATTCCCGCCTGCCTTCTCTTCCTGGGGTACTTGAGCATCGCTATCAGGGGTCTGGGGTACTTAAGCATCGCTAGCAGGTGGCACCACAGGCCCGCGTGTCGTCGTCGCCGCTCCGCCCGCCCGCAGGCAGTACTTCTGTCCCAAGTGCCTGATGCGCTCAGCGCGCCGCTCATCCAAACCCTCCAAGCCGCATCTCCTGTCCTGCGCCGCGCACTAAGCTCCTTCACCGCGCTGCCGCTGCCCTGCGGTGCCCGGACGCCTCCCGGTCGGCTCGGCAAAGCCGGGTTTCGCCGGCCCTGACCCA